AGCTTTACAAATCCCTTTGAGCAACAGTGTTGCATAGATATTTACATGTAGAATGTCATATTTCCTCAAAATTTTTGAGAAAATTCCTATTTGAGAGCAAAATGTTCATTTGAAAGTTAATTTACTGGAAAAGGTAGATTTCAGTCAACAATTTCAATAGGATTTTGTTACACTTTAATAGCATTGTCAAAAACTTAGATGAAGATGTGGAAAACATGAACGTAAAATTTTTAAATAAAGCAAAATTAAGAAGGAAAAAATCAGAATCTAGGGTTTACACCCAATATGATTGACTAGGCTAAAGCCAATCCATTCTTGCATTGTACCTGCTATCTCTTACCTTCATTGTTTTTTTTCCACTGTAGGATAGGGATCATTGCTTGGTAGCAACTCATGTGAGAAAATCTCTATGTTGCAAACTTAAGATGAGCCATTATGTAACAGAGTTGCCCTATAAATTAGCACAGTCTTAGAATTAGGGGAGATCATGGCTTTGTGAGGGAGATGATGCTCTTCAGTACTGCCTGCTACTATTAGTCTATGTTTACTAATATCTTGAGAATGTGCTGAATTCTGGCAGAATTGGGAAAGGTCATAGAGATGAGAGGGAGTCTAACGATTATCTCAAGAATTTCAGAGGCAACTGATTGTGTTTTGCATGAAGAAAACAAGATTGGATTAGCAAATCATTGTTTTTTTTATTTTTGGTTTAGGAATATTATTATCTAGAGCTGCCTGGTGGGTGGAAGTTACAGAGACACAGACTTCATGCTAATGTAAGAAAGCAAAACAAGTTTTTGATGGTGGAAGAGGCTGCTATCTCTGGAAAAAATCAACAGAGGATGGATTACCTTTGGTTAGGGCAGTCATAGAAGGGGTTAGACTCTGGGTGGATGGTGGGATGTGGAGAGGCCCTTTTAGTTCTCCAAGTTCAGAGGTACATGTATTGGTAAATTACTTGGCAAAATAAACTTACTGATAAGTACAATATTTAGTCAAAACTGGATCCTTTCTGTATGTAAGACTCAGTCATAATTACCAGAAAATGCAATCCTGTCTCAAATGACATTTTTGTGATGATTAACTACACAAAGTAATGTAATTGCCCAAATTACTCTCTTCCAATTTGTTCTCCATACTTGATTCAGAGTGATCATTAGCAAATACTAATCTCTTTATACCACCTCTCTGCTTAAAACACATTCATTCTGCCCTGATTTTAGAATAAAGACCTGCATTTTTAATGTGACCTACACAATCCAGCAGGTCTACCCCTTCTCCAGTCTTCTGTTGTAATCACCCTCCATTTCCAATCCAACCACACTGACCTGCTATTAAATTCTCATATATACACCATGCTCCCATTTGTCGCATCAGTTCTCATGCTTTTTTTTTTCTGTATGGATGTCTTTCTCATTTTTGAATGACCTGTACTCTCACCCTCAAAATCTCAGTTCACTTTTCACTTAATCAGGGAAGCCTTCCTGACCTTCTTATTTAGCTTTCATTTCCTGTTACACATGCTTGTGCTCTGTATTTCTCATTCACAGCATTGATCATTGTTAGAATTTACATTTGATTATGTAGCTATTTGATTAGTATCTGTTTCCCCTACTGGAATATAAACATACTAAGGAATAGACATTCTCTGTTTTTCATTCGCCATTGAACTTCCAGTGCTTTGGGATATGTGCATATCACAATAAATATGTATTGAATGAATAATGTAAGTGGGACTTACTGCAGAAGTACAGAGGAGAACATTCAGAGAAAGGATGTGATACAGTGACCTCAAGGCAATACATTAATTTTATATAGTGCTTGCATATTTTAGACTGGTTTTACTTTTCACAAAAGTTCTAAGAACTAGGATTATTGTATCATAGCATATTACATTGATTTTACAGATAAGAACATTTATCCCTCTTAATTTTACAGAAAAGGACAGTTAACTAGCTCAAGATGAATAGTTATTAAGTAGCAGATTTAAGATAAGAAACTATGTGTTTGAGATTTTAGGAAAATTACCATGCACTTGTTATATGCAGATGTTATATTCTTTTATAACTTGCTTCAAATGGCATATGCTCTTATGATGTTCTTTAGGATTGCATTAGTTCAGTCTGCTCTAACAAAATACTGTACACCAAGTGGCTGAAAGAACATTTATTTCAGTTTTGGAGGCTGGGAAGTCTCAGATCAAGGTGCCAGCAGATTTGATGTCTGATGAGAGCCCTTTTCCTGGTTTGCAGGGCCATTTTCTTGCTGTATCCTGACATGGAGTCTATGGAGAGCTGTGGTCTCTTCCTCTTCTTATAAGAGCACTAATCCCACAATGGGGGCCCTACTCTCATGATCTTATCTAAACACAGTTACCTCCCCAAAGCTCTCAAATACTATGACATTAGATTTCTCCCTTCCTTCCTTCTTCTTGTTTTCTTTTTAAGATTTTATTTATTTGTCAGAGAGAGAGAGGGAGAGAGAGAGAACAAGCAGGGGGAGTGGCAGGCAGAGGGAGAAGCAGGCTCCCCGCTGAGCAAGAGCCCGATGCGCTACTCGATGCCAGGAGCCTGGGATCATGACCTGAGCTGAAGGCAGATGCTTAACCTACTGAGCCACCCAGGCATCCCTTTCTTCTTCCTTCCTTCCTTTTTCTTTTCTTTTCTTTTCTTTTCTTTTCTTTTCTTTTTCCTTTCCTTTCCTTTCCTTTTCTCTTTTCTTTTCTTTCTTTCTCCCTCTTTCTTTCCTTTTCTTTCTTGACATTAGATTTCATCATATGAATTTGGGGGGGAACAGACATTCAGTCCATAAAAAGGAGTAATCTATGTTTTATTTGTATATACTCATCTAAAATATATTTATAGTTTTAAAATTACATATGGAATTCTCAATTATGTTTTAGAGACCTTGACAGGATTCTAAACGTGAAAGTAACACTGCCATCTAGTGACAACAAACTCGAATGAAGCTGGAAAAGTAGAGCAGCGGTTAAGCGCTCTAGGAATGGTAACACAAGTCAGAGTCACGGAGTGGACCTGGCCACATAACTTGGGGCGGTCCTTTGTTTTCAGTAAACATTTGAGGGAGCTGATTCTTACAATGGTCATGCATTAAGAGGGACTAAATAAAACAAATGCTCTACGCTGTAGGATGTTACCCATGTAGTAAGTAGATCACGTGGTTTCCTATGCTTGCGCCACTTGACTGCAATCTGTCTCCATGTTCTCACTCTCTCCATTGCTTCAGAATGAGGGAGTTTTGTACTCTGATAACCTAGTAAAGAGAAGTTTTCATCTTAGTTGAAAAAACTAAAACTAAAAAATTCAGGAACAAACCTACATGAGGGAATGAGTCCTTGGTAAAATTTCCGGGTAGATTTTATAGCATTGTTAAGGAAGAAGTGGTATGCCAAGATAAACTCCATCTATCCTAAGGGGAGACTTAAAGCCACTTTGAGTTAAATTACTATGTGATTTAATGTAAGCACAACAATAAAACACTTCCAGACACGATATATTGTTAGAAAATGAAGAATATAAGAATTTTCTTTAAATCATTGAACTACAAAAGAAAATTGGATAATTTATTTGTATCTCTTAAGTCCTACACTTATATGATAGATTTTAGCTGATAAATTTTAAGTGAATTATTGTCCTGGTACATTAAAATTGCAGATAAAATTATCATCTAAAATCCCTTGAGCTAAAATTTTCTTATCATGTGCACATGCCAGATCAAAGAGATAACAATTACTCTATTTCTCTGGAGGCTTAAATAACAAAAACCCATCACTCTGAAATGATAATAACTTTGCTGAGTGAGGTGAGATATTATATTTAACATTTTTTTAGATAGTCTAGAGGGGCTTATTTCTATTTGTCTAATTACTAGTATATTCATTGTAATATATCCCTAAGGTTTTCTAACTCATGGTGTATAAATAGCCTAACTGGAAATATTAATTACTTTTTATATAAGTCAATGAAAATTACTGCTTTCCTGACATGACTTACTATCCTGTCTCCCCTTCAGGAACAATACTTCATGTGCTGAGAACAAACATTTTGTAACAGAGTTGCTATTTTGCCAGGAGTTAAGTTGGAAATCTCAGGAGCATAAATAATTTTAAGATAAGAAAAGCATCTGATTTATACATATTTCTTAGTTGATATCCTTAAAATAAAGTTCTTTTATGTTTATTTTAGGACAAGAGTACAGATATGACCCCATCTCTTATTTTCATGTGATACACTATTTATATGAAGAATGTAGGTAGTACCAGACAATAGCAGATGACAATCTAGCAGGAGTTTGATTTAAAATTGGTTGCCAGAAAGTATGGCCTCAACACCGAGGGCTCTGATTCTTTGAAAAAAGCATTGCACAATGTGGTTATGATTATCTTTGTACGGGGCACAGCTGATCGGGATCCTTCCTAGTTTTGGGTCACAGAAGAACTCTGGAGGCACAATGCTTAAGGTAAAACCTGAAAGATGGATAGAGTCAGTAAGGTAAAGAGCTGAAAGGTAGGCAGACAATGCTTTGGAAGGGGGTTGTATGGTCAGAGGGTTCTAGAGAGAACACAAATGAAAAAGCTTTATTTGAAATTTTTGGCACCTTATCGGTGAAAAGAGGATTCAACTCCACCAGTATGGAGGTGCCTTATAATACACCAAGGCTCTGGAGGGCCCCTTCATACCCATAACAGTATAGTGGGTTCACAACAAGAAATTGACTTCACACCAGAAAAATGTACTCAGCTGTTTATAACACTAGTGGAAATGAGGGGAGACTAAGTTATATGGCAGTGCAGAGCAGACAGAGACCAGTTAGTTTCTTTTAGGGGTTTTTGGTGAGAGGAAAGTAGACAGTTGTTCAAGAGTCTCGAAGAAGTTGGCATTTTGCCATGATCCTTCAAGGAGAAGCAGGGTGAAGTCTGCAGCAAGTTTGTGGTCTGTTTTTGCCTTGACTGTGTTTTGACTCTTGCCTTATTTGTTCAGCTAGGATTGTGTCTAAGCAGAGCCTCCGCATCTGTTCTTAACCTCAACTGCAGCCTTATCCTTTTACCCATGTGCCGGACGCTCCTGGCTTACCTACGAGGATCCCAGAAGGTAAGAACAAAAAATCCTAGTCACAGATTCCCGGATAAAAAATCAAGTGGAACAGTGGCATGTTAGTACTACTGAGTTTTCATGGTCTGATCTTCTAATAGACTGATTTCTATCATCTGCTGTCAGCTACCAGATGATAGTAAAGACCATGTCACCTGTCAAGATGATCAGTGAGCTATTCTGCAATGCTAGATAGAGGCAGTGGATAATAGAAATGGCTATTAATAGTGATATCAGGTGCTGGGCTACGCACTCCATGGATGTAAGTGTGAATCCTCACAATGATTCTGTAGGTCTTGTAGATGAAGAACTGAGGCACAGAGAGGTTAAGTAACTTGACCAATGTCATGAGACTAGCAAAATGGCAGAGCTAAGATCAGTCCCAGTTCTGAGATTTTTCCACTATACTACTATGCCTCATTGAGAGCCTGTGTTTTCATTTTGTTAAGTCCAGGTGAGCAAACTAGAAACTAGAGCCCTGTGGACTTTCAGCAAAATATACAGTGACTACTGGTGTTGGTGGCGATTTATCTCCTTTTCAAATACATGCATGTTTTAAGCTATGTAATAGTCTTGGAGATGTCTTAAGATGTGATGTCATGTGTGATGTTGTAAAATGAAGGTTGTAAGGAAACAGTAAAGCACTTTGGAGATTAAAACTCAAAAAATTATTTTTTGTCTTCAGTTATCCTGGTGTGTTTGTGTTTCTTTTCTTGTTGAAACAGTAAGGCATTCTTGGATCAATACTGATACTTTAAAAGAAGTTATTAATATGAGGTCACTTTGATGTTCTATGTGGTTCATATGAGCAGATTTACTGCAGTAAAACTTCTCAACCTTTTCATGTAATTATATTTAGAAACTCTTTGCTTTTAATGCAGTAATTTGTGGAAATAACTCTTTCTCTAGGTTGCCTACCATTGTAAAATGCTAGGTTTTGATGCCTATGACTGGCTATTGGCTTGGTGTGAAGAAAGAGAAGATAAACGGCAGGAAATGAAAAGTGCCCACCTAAGTCTCTCAGTATTTAAATAAGTCTCAGAGAACGGTCCCCTGATGTGAAACATAGGTATTCAAAGATGCTTGACATTTTATTTTTTTATAAGATCAAGAAGGCATTTAAAACCATAGATGGAATTGCTTCATTTAAAAATCATCCTATTTTTTGACTACAAAAGGAAATAATATATATTGTACAACTCAAACATTCCAGAAATATGTAAAGTAATCAATGAAAGTTTCTCCTAATATTACTGTGCTGGAACAACCACAGATTACAGTTTGGGATAAATGCCTTCAGATTTGCATAGAATGCCATTAATTTTAAATACCATAGGACTATAGTATAGTTTATATGTTATCACTCTTTTACCTAGCCATGTATCTGACACATCTTTCCATATCAATAATAAGTCTTCTCACATTCTCTTTAATGGTTTAGGTGTTCCACTGACTAGATATATCATAATTCATCTCACCAACTTTTAATTCCTAGGCCTCTGCCATATTTCTAAAACTTTGATATCATGAACAATGCTATAGTGAAAAACTTTGTACACATATCTTATTTCCTGCTTCATTTTCACCATACTGAATTTTATTTAGGTTCCAAGCAGGAAAACCAGAAGATTGTTGGATAAAAGCAGAACATTCCATATAACCTGTGGTGTGACTATATGTATTTTTTCAGGTGAGAAAACCAAAAGATATGAAAATATTATGTTAGAACACATTTTATAAATGATATTTTTGTTGTTCTGTAAATTATTTGCTGTCACCTACTTGTGATTTTCCCATCACATACCTTAATTTTCTCTTCCATGTGTTTAAAGAGAGTTGTCTGATGGTGCTATAGAAAATGAGCGTGTCTTACACATGTATATAGTTTTCACATTATAATGTATGAGAGTTGGCCCTGAAGCTGTTAATAATTGTTTCCTACAAATAAATACTTTCATTTAGAAAGACTAAAAGAAATAGAATAAAAATTTTTAAGGTTTAAAAATAAAAATATGATAGGACTTTAAATGCATACAAATTACAATGTGAAATGTACATTCATAGAATGTGATTCCATTTAAAAGCATATTTGATAGCCACACTGTGGAAAGAGCCAAGATGTCCATCAACAGATGAATGGATAAAGAAGATGTCGTATGTATACACAATGGAATATTATGCAGCCATCAAAAGGAATGAGATCTTGCCATTTGCAACGACGTGGTTGGAACTGGAGGGTGTTATGCTGAGTGAAATAAGTCAGAGAAAGACATGTACCATATGACCTCACTGATATGAGGAATTCTTAATCTCAGGAAACAAACTGAGGGTTGCTGGAGTGGTGGGGGGTGGGAGGGTTGGGGTGGCTGGGTGATAGACATTGGGGAGGGTATGTGCTATGGTGAGCACTGTGAATGGTACAAGACTGTTGAATCACAGATCTGTACTTCTGAAACAAATAATGCAATATATGTTAAGAAAAAAAAAGAAGAAGAAGAAGATAGCAGGAGGGGAAGAATGAAGGGGAGTAAGTCAGAGGGGGAGATGAACCATTAGAGATGATGGACTCTGAAAAACAAACTGAGGGTTCTAGAGGGGAGGGGGGTGGGGGGATGGGTTAGCCTGGTGATGGGTATTAAAGAGGGCACATTCTGCGTGGAGCACTGGGTGTTATGCACAAACAATGAATCATGGAACACTACATCAAAAACTAATAATGTAATGTATGGTGATTAACATAACAATAAAAAATTATTAAAAAAATAAAAAATAAAAGCATATTTGATAAATGTTTCTTTGATATTAATACTTGGTATTAAATATCAAATGTTTGTGGAAATTTATCCTGTTCAGTTCCAGGTTAAAATATCAAGTGACTGAGGGTTCTAGAGGGTAGGGGGGTGGGGGGATGGGTTAGCCTGGTGATGGGTATTAAAGAGGGCACGTACTGCATGGAGCACTGGGTGTTATACGCAAACAATGAATCATGGAAGCTACATCAAAAGCTAATGATGTAATGTATGGTGATTAACATAACATAATAAAAAAGAGAAAAAAAAGAAAAACAAATATCAAGTGAGAATCTTTTGGTTTTTAAAAGAGTCATTTTAAAATAAGTTTTTATCCTGAACATTTATGTGATATTTTTCAAATTTTGGAACAGAAAGTTATAAACATATTAATTAAGTACTTGGACTTTGGAGGCAGGGTTGTGTAGGATCTATCCCCAACTGCCCTCCTACCTTACTATGTGACATAAGCTCTCTGGTCTTTGATTTGTTGTTGTTTTAATGATAAAGTGATTGACAGTAGCACCTGCCTCATGGTTTGAAGACTAAAATGAGATCGCCCATAGGAAGTTTTTAGGGTGAAATTAGTTATAATTTACAATCTCAGGTGTTAATTATCTCAGTGGCATAGCACCTGACATTTCCGACCTGGTTTGACGCCAGGGACATTTGGTCTGGATATGTATGTATGACTATTTTGAATCAGACATGTTTTGGTGCAGCTACTATTAAGAGTTCATTAAGCTCTCTGCTTTTAAAAAGTTGCCAAGTACTGTCGAAACAGGCATCTGCACTGTTTTGTCCCTGGACATCTTATTGGCGGATCCCACATCTGCAGGCGAGAGATGGGGAGAGGCTCGGATAGGATTAGGACTCCATACCACTCAAGAGGCTGGGGATGGAGTAAGAGTCCAGGATGAGATGAGGACCAAGGGTGTGGCTGGGGTCAGGGCTGGGTTAGAAGAAAGGAAGTGAAAGGTCAGGAAAGCAGGAGGGTCCGGGAACGTGGACACATTTGTAACTTGGTTTGTTCTAAACTGCAGTTGTATCCAAATATTCTGGTTTAGTTGGAGAACAACGAAGAGACTGAGATCTTGTAGAGTCTTGCCATGAATGAACATGCATTCCAGACTGTTTGCATTCTGCCACTCACTAGTTGTCTGACCTTAGTTGGGTGACCTCTTCTAACCTTCATTTTCTTCTCTGTGAAATAGGGATGTTTCTACCCACTTCATTGTTTTGTTGAGAGAATTAAATCAGAATATCTATTCAAAATATCTGGCCTGGCTTTCTCCCTGCTGCCCAATATTTGAAGCCCCAATTTCTTTTGACCTGAAAGGTCATTTAAAGAAGGTGAATGTATCCCTTAAGGGTATATCTCAGACAACTGATACCTAGAGCTTTTTTTCAGGAGAATTCAGAAAGAAGGAGCCACAAAGCATGTAGTTAACATATAAACCTTAATTTAAAATGACAGGATTTTTTTAAACTTACACATTTCAGACATGATAAAGCTAGAGGACACAGACAGTTTTGCTTAAATAATGTTTTATGCCTATGCCATAGTCAAGTCTCACCTGGACAGCCTCTTAAAAATTTCCTTAGAACTCCGTCCTTGCTTGTTAGTTAACCAACTTCTAAATTCCTGTCCACTTTTTTATTTATTTCTTTTTTACACTTTTTAAAAATTTTATTATGTTATGTTAATCACCATACATTACATCATTAGCTTTTGATGTAGTGTTCCATGTTTCATTGTTTGTGTATAACACCCAGTGCTCCATTCAGTACATGCCCTCTTTAATACCCATCACCAGGCTAACCCATCCTCCCACTTCCCTCCCCTCTAGAACCCTCAGTTTGTTTCTCAGAGTCCATAGTCTCTCATGGTTGGTCTCCCCCTCCAATCTCCCCCCCCCTTCATTTTTCCCTTCCTACTATTTTCTTTTTTCTTAACATGTAATGTATTATTTGTTTCAGAGGTACAGGTCTGTGATTCAACAGTCTTAGGCTATTCACAGCACTCACCATAGCACATTCCTTCCCCAATGTCTATCACCCAGCCACCCCATCCTTCCCACCCCCCACCACTCCAGCAACCCTCAGCTTGTTTCCTGAGATTAAGAATTCTTCATATCAGTGAGATCATATGATACATGTCTTTCTCTGATTGACTAATTTCGCTCAGCATAATACCCTCCAGTTCCATCCATGTCTTTGCAAATGGCAAGATTTCATTCCTTTTGTTGGCTGCATAATATTCCATTATATATATATATATATATGTGTGTGTGTG